GTGTGACATCTTGTGGTCAGTTGTTGGTATTACACATAACAAACAGGTTTGTTTGTTTTCCGTAAAGCACCTCAAAATGTTTCTGCACAGCTTCTCTGTAAGGTGACATATTCTTAACTAATTAAGCAAGAGATGAAATTAAACTTAAAAAAATTAATTATCGTTGATAGCTTTCTAGTACTTCATGACTAAAAAAACTGGAGGGCGAAGGCAGGGGGACACTCTGGACAGGTCACCAGTCTATCACAGGGCTACACTTAGAGACACAAATAAGCACACTCACATTCACACCTATGGACAATTTAGAATCACCAATTAGCAGGTTTTTGAACTGTGGGAGGAAGCCGGAGAACCCAGAGAGAACCCACGCTGCACAGGGAGAACATGCAAACTCCACGCAGAAAGATCCCAGGTGATCTTCTAGCTGTGAGGTGCTAACCCCAGAGCCACTGTGCAGCCCTCATTAGATCCTCATTTATATTTTTTGTATATTTATATCTATGTTAAGTAATGTTTGACATGTGGTAGAGATGAACCCACTTCAAACCAGAGATAAGAACAAGGTGAAACCAACAAATGCACATCATGTTATTGCCTGTGTAGGATCCTGCTGCTTACAGTACAAAGAAGAAATGCTTTTCTGTCCCTTTCATCACTTCCCCACATTCAGGTGAATCCTAACACAGTACATGATAATACCTGTTCCACAAAACCAAAGTCAGTCAGAGTACGGCTTTCACAACTTTAATCCTGTAGATATTCAGTATTACAGCGATGCCGGCTCCGTTCAGTAAGGTAGGAAGTATTGGGTGAACTGACTGTGTGAAGCAGCTCACTAACCAGCTACAGGCTATACCTTGTACCTTTAACGTCTTCAAACTTCCAGTAACATGGAGCTACATTGGAATTAGATTTTTTTTTGTAAAATGCGGGACTCACAATTGTTAATTTCTTATTTGACAGAATCCATGCTGACTACAGGAAATGTGTCTTCTTTAAAAATCATTCCTGTTTTATGTAAATAAACTGTAAGTTGCTGTAGGAGGTTGAGCTTAACTTCTGTTTAGAGCCACGTAATGCTGTAACTCAGAGAAAGGAAGCTGAGGAGAGGTCCACAGTTGGCAGGTTTCCACTGACTCGTGGTACACTTAGTTCTCTGGAAGCTAAGGTGTCAGTCGAAGCAAATCCTCCTCGTTCTTGACCAGTGCAAGAATACCAGAATCATCAATGACATGCCAGTCCGCTGCGTTTTACACCATGTCCACCAGTCTGAATTTACCCTCCTGTTTGACTGGCAGGACGTTGATGAAAGTCTTGTAGAGAACAGCTCCTTTTGGCAGCTTGGTAATGACCCGAGTGGCCTCAAGGCTTCTAGGTGATGGTATGTAGACCTCCTTGGTAAACCGTACATGACCAGCCTCTAGAGCGAACAGTGTGTTGTTGGTTCCCTTCCCTACCTTCAGGACAGGAAAGAAGGAGCAGAAGACATACAAGAAAAAAAAAAACTTTTACTTTCTAAAATCTCTTTACTGTCTCCCAGTACAATGCAGATTCATTTCAAAGCTTTGCTGACAGCATGTCACCTCCATTTACATGTGTTATTATACCTTATCTGGAAAAAAAAAAAAGGAAAAATGTTAATGCAGGTGTAGATCCATGCAGAAAGCTTTGGGATCAGAATGCAATTTGATCCACCAGACTAGATTTGGAAGTGGTCAGGCTACCACTATGATCAGAAGACATAGATATAATCTGTACAATGTAACCACATTATTAAAAAGGAAATCCTCCTAACAAGTTTAAAAGTTACTTAACATTTCCCCTCCTCGTTAGTCAGACAAGCCTGACAAAAGCTACAGGTAGCAGCAGTAATGTAAGCTGGGCAGTAGGGGGAAAAAAATAATCTTTTAATAATCACATTAAATCAATCTGGACAATATTGAGCACATTTTAATACCAGGTGTTGATGCAAAGACCCATGCATTAATAGTCACACTGACTATTATACTATGATAGACTAGGAGGCAGATTTCATGTTGGTATCAGGTGTAAAACTCCCCAATATATGACAGACCTGCTCACAGCTGAAAATCCATCACATCAACATCTCTGGACAAAGGAAGTGGAACTTACATGTGCTCCTGGATGAAACCTCAAATACCTCTGTGTCGCAAGGATGTTACCAGCCTGGACAAAATGACCTTGTAACGAGAAGGGAAGAAAGAACCATTGACTACAGGCCCATTCACACAGAATGTATGTAAAATGTTAACATTACTTTACCTGGTCAGTGATTGTAACTCATTTCACACAATGAAAGTGGGCTTTCAATTAAATCTAAAGAGGTTTTACTGCATAGTGGGTAAATTATCTGACATCTGTGAGCAACACCTGGGGGAGACATACCAGATCTAACGTTCCTAATAATGCTATGTCAATAACCACAACTGATTTGAAGCTGTTGAGAAGCAGATACTCATCCACAGATGGCATTATAAATGTCAGGGGGGTTAATGGTAGATAAAATTAAATTATTTGTTATTACCATCCTGTTTCTTGAAGCCATATCTACGACCAGGGCTCTTTCCCCCAAGGTTCTTGCTGCTACCACCAGCCTTCTTAGATGCGAACCTCACAGAGTCCAGCAGAGCGCACTGACCAGGGACCAACAGACCTGAAACCACCATCACAAACATTTTCATGTGAGCTTCATGTTGTAGACGCAGCTAGATGCCATTCGCATTTATGGAGCTGAGGACATTACATCTAACCTAACAAAAAATCTGACAGTTTTACAAGGTCCTGCTTGTCTAATGTACCAGTATAACACATTGCATTCACTGATATGGATTTTTCTGTAATGTCTTAACTGACTAATAAACAAAGATGAGGGCAGTTTACAGTGGAGACAGTCAACATTTAACACGAGGGATGTCATGAGAACCGGTACTTTGGTACAAGTCCATCCCACAATCCTGAGAATGTTAGGAAAAATTTCTATCATACCAATTTTTTCTAGAAGTGCAAGTGGAAAACAGGTCCGCTGTGGCAGAAACTCAAAAATCTTGTATGCAGATATCTAGTGTTTGAGTTAATGATCAAGAACCAATTATACACAACCATCGCCAGAATGTTAAAGGTGTCACATTTGAACTGAATGGAGGAAACACCTCCAACTCATCTAAGCATCTCAAACACATCTAGATCTGTACACAACATTCAAGCTAAGACAGTTTCAGGGTTTGCTTTATATTAACAGCATATTCACATTGTTAAATGCCACAGTTACTGTTTGTGAGCTACTGCATCTGTTTTAGCAGTACTCCACGCACAACGTTCACAAAGGGTAATGTTAGTTGTCTTGGATAATGTAGCAATATGTCATGATGTGAGCTGGATGCTGTTGGCAGCGTGAGCAGACTAATGACGTTACCATTTAGCCTGTTAACATATAGAGGTGTGTGTGTGTNCAATATGTCATAATGTGAGCTGGATGCTGTTGGCAGCGTGAGCAGACTAATGACGTTACCATTTAGCCTGTTAACATATAGAGGTGTGTGTGTGTGTGTTTAACATAGTGTGTGCTACGGCCTCTGTGATTTACATTATGGTCTTTGCAAAACATGAGCATGAGGATGATGTTGAGCAGGAGAGACCAACACACACACGCGCGCGCGCGCGCACACACACACACACACAGCCAACCATAAGTTTTTCAGACACTGAACATTTGACAATAATTCGCATCACAGTCCTCCCATGGAAAGTAGATGCGTTAGTTTTAGAGCACAGTACTGTTCGTTTTAAATACTTTAAGGCTACATTTCTGTGTGGCAAAGTTAATATTTTTACATTTGTTATACCTAGCCTTTTTTTTTTCTTTTTTGGTTTTTAGCCATTTATCTAACAGTTGGCTGTTTTCCCGTAACTTCTTTTTTCAATGTTTGAAAGCTCCATACCGACTTTTTACAATTAATGGTCATGTTAAAATATATGCATTTAATTGGCTTATTTTTCGCCATGGTATTAAATATGTAATAATAAAATTTCAGTGGTACTGATAAAGACTGCAACATTTCTGGTATGATGACGTCCATACAGACGTGCGCTACAGCACCACGGTAACTTGCAAAAAATCGTTACCTAGGAGAATAAGTCAATGTCGAATTGACAAAATATTGCTGAGCAACAAATAACTCTTAGGTATAGCAAAACTTGCATCCTGTCAGTGCCTGTGACATTGAGTACTACTGTACACGCTAAAACACTAGCACCGCTAGCAAGCTAGCTAACTTAGCCTACAACATACCTTGCTAAAAATGTACGTTTTACACACGCGTACGCCCAACGAACCAGCACATTTGATTTCTGTATTATCATGATATTTTAGTGAACATTATTTAAAACATTAATTTAGACGTGTGTTACCTGCTCTGGACTTGAGCATCAAGGATGCTAGCGCTGCCATGTTGAATGCATGAAGACCTTGTTCACGTCATATCCCTGCGCCACATTCGAAGACTTAAGTCACGTTTAGGTTCCTTCGGAAATATGAATTACCATCCTTGTAACACACAACAGAAAGCACACATTGTTCGCCAAAACTCTTAGCACGTGGGTAAATGCCATAGACAGATGCTAATTTAATTGCTGAAATACCAAAATAAAACACATTCCAAAATGGTCTGACATTTTCACCTCAACAAAATAAGTTTGCTATCATAACTTATATGATACGACGTTTTTGAAAACAAATACTGGTCATTGACTGTCAGCACTACTTATAGCTTTTCTCTGAAACACACTGAAATCTGTCCCTTGAAAAACAATATCGTTAGTAACTGCAGACAGACTGCCTCAGGGCCAGCACTTTAAATCGTCCCATTACAGTGAATGCAACATTACCCTGCAGCCCGGGGAAAACAAAAGTTCACAGCAACAGGCAGCTCCCCACAGTGTGTGCTGCTAAAGAGTAACTGAGGGGTATAGAGAGAGGTTAGTTGCAAATGGAAATTGTCCTGCTTCTTGATTACCTCAACGGGTGTATGCAAGATTTCTAAGAAGTAATCAAACGGCAGTAAGAGAAACCACATACAGTTATTTTGATGTTTGCTAACTCTACGTAACGCTCGGTGTTCGGTGTTGGCGCTTCAGATGTCTGTTGTCAGGTAAATAAAGCTTGACTAACCCTCGGCGTTTTGCCTTTGGGCTTTAATGCGATGCCAAACTCAATTTAAAAAAAACAATTGCTTTCTTTAAGACACAGTGTACCTTGAAGTTTTATATTCAATTAACTGAGGAGCAACCAATAGCATTGACTGACTATTATTCTGATCTTCTTTCAGCAGAAAACACTGAAGGTAGCTGCAGACTGCACCATATTCACACCACTGACATGAGTTCTGCCTGCTAGATTGTGTTCATGCGGAATTTACTCGAACACTTGATGATTGCAATAGGTTGTGAGCTGTCAGGTACTGTATTTACTTGATAGTCATTTAAGAAAAATACAGTTGTAATATTTTGTATGAAGTCCAGTGTGGTTTTTGTGATCAGAGATAAAGGCACCTTTGTGGGAAGGAGCTGCCTGTTGAGTGGCGATCCTGTTAAAAATTCCTGTTTCCTACATTGTGTACAGTAACTTGCCCAGACTTTAGGGAACATGGGCACCTACAGTGAAACCACCACGGACCTAGATGAGGACTTCCCTGTGTTCGACTTCCTCCAAACCTCCCCAAAGCACGCAGACAAACCAGACATAGCTGACATGGATGACTCTGATGCAGAAGTCATAGCCATCTCCTCCCCAAGGAAGACAGATGCAGGTGCATGCAGGGGAAAGGTCGATGTAATGATGATCACCAGCGATTCTGATGATGATGATGCACCTTATGTCCCTTTGGCACAGAGACTCAAACAGAGATCTGGGACTGTGATTAGTGCCTCCTCTGCTGCCATTAATGGGAAAGATGCTGAACACTATTCACCACCCAGCTCACAGCTCTTTAGGCAGAATGGATTTTCCAAGTCAGAGCACCTGCCCAGCCTGCATCATGTGAGAACAGAGAGCTGTGTGGCCTTGGGTGCCACAGAGGAGCTGGAGGATCTTCCTCAGCTGCGTCTGAAGCCTCTCTCCGGTCCAGGCAGCGGAGGCGCCTCTCCTGCCAAGAAGAAATTTGCTGAGCCGATGGTGGAAGAGATCCAGGCCTCTCGGGAGGAGGCTCTGAGGAGGAAGCAGGCCAGGAAAAGACAACAGCCGGACAAGGAGGCGCTCAGGCAGGAACAAGAGAAGCAGAAAGCAGAGAGGAATGCTGCCAAGGCCCTGAGACCAGAGGAGTGTATCAAACACATGGTGGTGTGTGTTGACCCAGGTAAGGAGAAAACATTAAATAATATTTTGCAATCCCCTAAGAGAGGACTGTGTCCTGTAGATTTATAAGAATTTATTTTAAATTGCAAATACAGCCGGTGTGCTTTTCTAATCTTCCACATTTTAAGTGGGCTAATTGTGGACATAATTGTGCTGATGGAATGTGTGTTTGCAGCTATCTTACAACTGGAAGGAGGTGGGGCTCTGTTGGCGTCCGTGCAGGCTCTGGGATGTAGCTGTGCCATCGAGAAACAACCACTCGCACACAGTGTCAGCTGGATGAGAAGAGCTCCCTGTGCACAGGTGATAGGACACACACTATTTTACCACTGCTTTGTTTTATCATTTATTATCAAATGAAAAGTAGTTCCACGAGCACTCATTTAGTAACAATACCACTGCATCTCAGCCAGGTGAAGCAGAATGTGTACCCGAGGCTCATGTCGTAATACAGATGACAGCGGATGACTTCGTCAGTCTGATTCACAGCTACGTTCAGGTTTGTTGGGGCTCCTGATGCAACAAAATTAAATCATGCAACCACGCATCACATGTACAGAACAATAAGGATACCAATACTAGTATCAGTTTTTAGTGGGTCCACTGTGGTGGTCATTTACTTCCTCTTGTAATTTTAAGACTTGGCGAATACAGCACACCTGATGCCACCTTAACGCAACATTATGTTTGCTCAACTAATGAAGACCAAGGAAGAGAGATGTAAGTCACAGCAATAGTAATGCAGTCTGTTAAACATTGTCTGAGCACAACCTCACAGATCTGCCTGCCTGACTGTACACGCCTAATCTTGTTTAAAGTTTTTTTTTGTAATTGTCTAATGATATGACATAAAACAGGACATGTTATTAACATTTTAGTTATATATGTAAAAATGGAAAATTGCATTGACGGAAAATTGATGGAAAACACTTTGAATGTTAAATACTCCTGTTGAAAAAAATAACATTGATTTCTACAGTTTCGTGCTGTACATCACCTCAGCCATTTTTTTTCCTAATATATCCCTCCCTGTCCAAACTAGGAAGAGAGGCATGGCAGCTCACACCATGGTCTCACATTGACGTCCTGGGTCCAGGACCAGCAGAGGCGTAACCCTGGCAAGACCCTCAGCCTGGTGGTCATTGAGCTGGAAAAATTCTTCAGGTAGTTTATTTCAACATAAATGTGTCTTTTACAGCTCTAGGTATTATGCGAACCTTGCACTCCCCACCTTTTTTGGGGGAATATGTGAAGTCATACAAAACAATGCAAGCTACCTGCAGCTATCCTAAAACCGGATGTTTGCACCAATCATTTCAAAGGTTTGTTTTTGAGTCAGACCGAAGGTAAATATAGAAAATACCCACCTGGAATGGCATCTGGGATCAGTGACTATATAAAGGCAGACAAACCCTCCATGATGTCACAAGTAAGTTTTCTGAACAACAGTTTTGAAGATCAGTGCGTGGGCTCCGGCCATTCCTATGAATGCCTGACTCCCCCGAACTTCTTGCTAATCCAAAATTGGGCACAGAGGTGGAACATGAGTGGTGCTGAAGCAGGCCATGCAACCACTGGACCATATGAAGGCACCTATTTGTTGCTCAAAGTGCTCACGTCCTTAGTTGTGTTTGACTTTGAGGGTGTGTTCCAGTATCCATACTACAATATTATGTAGAATGGCAGAAAAAGACTTAGTATATCCCAATGCATTATATGTCATATGTAATATGCCAAAAATACTAGGATCTACGACTAGAAAATTGATCATTTAAGTTGCTTTTTGTATATCTTTGACCCAGCAGTTTTTGCGTTATTTCCAAAAGACTTGGGTTTCAATGATTCCACCATAGAAAATTCTGAGTTATAGGAGTCATTGGAAACTCAAGACTGCTTTGAAATACACGGTCTTTACAAGTGTATGTAAATCTTTGTTCACGATTGTATATAGGATCAATGTGGCTGTGGCATCGGCCATTGGTTTATGCACGACTGTTTGGACTTTAAACATTGCGATGTTGCTTGCTTGAAACTGAACATAATCAGCTGAGAACTCAAGGACACTACATACACTGATATGATGGCAACCTGGTCAGTCACATAGCAGCAGGCTGCATGTTTAAGGCACTTACACATTGGTTTCACCGTTAGACCTGGAGGCTACGTCCATTTTATTGGCTGAAAGGTCAATAGGACAGCAATAAGTCAAGCCGACAGTGATTCTGTAGCGTGCTTTCTGCTGGACCTCACCTCAATCTGCAGTTAAATGTGCTCATACACTGTACATGTCTAGTATCCAGTGTTTGATTCAAAAGTGAGAGAGAGAGAGAGAGAGAGAGCTCTAATCGAAGCCCAAGGTGTCACCTTAAAACTGTGTGTATTGTCCAATACACACAGTTTTATTATGCAGGAAGCATATTAAGTCATTATCAGAACTGTGGTCACGAATATTTAGGTGTGACTGTGTACAAAAGTGTGAAGTGTAGATCTTAATGAAATGTTAAAAACCAACAAGAAAATCTACTCAGATACCATGTGAGCTTATGTAAACTAAGTTGCTGTCTGAAAATGTGTCACTGTCACTCTCAGAGTCTGGCAGAACTCAGCGATAAACAGTGTGAAAAATACAATGTGCGAAGAGGGGAAACGGAGCAAAGGGTGCAGAAAATGTTTTTAGGGTTTATAATATAAAAAAAAGAAAAAAAACACTGTAAACTGTTTGTCCCCAGATCACAGAAGTCACAAAACCAGAAGAGGTTTCGAGAGGCTGTCATGTGTGAGGAAACCAGGGGAGGAAAAGTGAAGAGGAAAAGGAAGAATGATGGAGCTGAAGTGTCATCTGAGGTGTCCCGAGTTGAAGTAGAGGAGGTAAGCTAGTTAGTTGGTTGGGGCAGAAGAAAAATAAAAGAGGTTTAAGATGACATTTATTTACCCATTACTGAAATTGTATTTAATAGGATCAAAGTTCACAATTAGTGGAAAATTAAGGGATTTTAATATATCAAAGTTACATGGTTTAAGGGAATTTTAGGGGTAGCCACGTCTTAAAATTGACCTACAAACACTGTCATTTACGTTGGTATTTGTTTCTATTGTATAGGTTAATACACATTTTATTTTTCATGCTTTTTAAATGTTATGGTGTTGATATTTGTCAAACACCATGCAAATAGGCTACTTGAACCCTAAAGATTAGGACTGCACCTAACCTCTTTTTTTTTGTTTTAATCGATTAATCTAACGATTATTTTGTTATTATTGTTATTTATTTATTTATTTATTTATGATTTTTTTTTCCATTGGTCAATTATTCTAACGATTATTTCTAATTATAACAATTATTTTAGGAGATTTTTCACAAATATGCCAACTAAATCGTTACCAAACAACTTCTTCACCAAAGTGTTTGTAAAGGTGTAATAACATGCCTTAAAATGTTGAAGTTCAACTCCCGTTGGAAACCCTGTTTCAAAACTAGATGCTGAATTAAACTAACAATAACACAGGTTAACCATACAATGAAAAATTAAGAAAAAACAGAAAAAAAAAAAGAAGGAAACTTATCTGGTCAGACCAGCAACCTCTTGTCCAGTCGAGGCAGATGGCCGTCCCTACCTTAGCCTGGTTCTGTCGAAGGTTTTTTCTCCCCTGTGGGGGGTTTTGATTCCTTCCCAGTGTTGCAGACTACTTTGGGACTGCTGAAGCTTATAGGGAATCCAAATGTTTTGGATTGTTGGGTGTTTCTGTTTCTGCCTTTGTTAAGCGCCATGAGATGACTTGTTGTAAATATGCGCCATACAAATAAAATTGAATTGAATTGAAAAAAATTGAATTGTCAAAAAGGAAAAAGTCCAAATATCTTCCGTGGAGGAACTTTGGACACATTCCTTGGGAAGATGTCTGCAAAATGGACCCTCTTCCAAGGCTTGCTGGTTACATGACCTCACAATGTCACTCATCACTTTAGCACTGAAATAAATAGCAACAATGAGGACACAATGAAGAAATTGTTGTGAATATTTCAACAAGTAGGGACCCTGTTTCAAAACTATGATCTGACTTAAACTAACAATATTACATGTTAACCATCCACTGAAAAATTAAATTATAAAAAAGAAGGAAACTTATCTGGTCAGACCAGCAACCTCTTGTAAAAAAGGAAAAAGTCCAAATATCCTCCATAGAGGAACTTTGGACACATTCTTTGGGAAGATGTCTGCAAAATGGACCCTCTTCCAAGGCTTGCTGGTTACATGTCCTCACAATGTCACTCATCACTTTAGCACTGAAATAAATAGCAACAACTAGGACACAATGAAGGAATTGTTGTGAATATTTTAGCAACTAAGGACCCTGTTTTAAAACTATTATCTGACTTAAATGAACAATTATACAGGTTAACTATACACTGAAAAATTAAAGAAAAAAACACCAAAAAAGAAGGAAACTTATCTGGTCAGACCAGCAACCTCTTGT